TTAAGCTGCAATAGGAGAAAGAGCTTTGAAATCAAACACACTTGGTTTGTGACTCAGCTACTAACTTGAGACCACTGGCTCCTAGGTGTGGGGGTTTGATTTTTGAATCCCAGTTTCACCACTTGCAACCTATCTAAACTTGGGCAAATTATTTAACTTCTCTGGGCCTCAGTTTCCTCATCTATAAAATGGGAGTAACTGTGATACCTACTTCAAGAGATGAGTTATGAATTGAGAACCCAGGAGTAAATCCATCCACCTATTGTCCGTTCATCTTTGACAAAGGCCCAAAATCCATTAAATGGGGAAAAGACAGTCTCTTTAACAAATGGTGCTGACATATTTGGATGTCCATCTGTAAAAAAATGAAACACGACCCACCTCACACCATATACAATAACTAACTCAAAATGGAGCAAAGACCTAAATATAAAACCTAAAACTATAAAGATTATGGAAGAAAAAATAGGGATAACGATAGGTGCCCTAATACACAGCATAAATAAGATACAAACCGTAACTAGCAATGCCCAAGCACCAGAAGACAAACTAAATAACTGGGAGCTCCTAAAAAGTAAACACTTACACTCATTGAAAGACTTCACCAAACGAGTAAAAAGAGAACCTACAGACTGGGAGAAAAATTTTGGCTATGACATATCCGACAAGGGTCTCATCTCTAAAATCTACAAGATACTGCAACACCTCAAGAACAAAAAGACAAATAATCCAATTAAAAAATGGGGAAACGATATGAATAGACACTTCACCAAAGAAGACATTCAGGTGGCTAAAAGATACATGAGAAAATGCTCGCGATCATTAGCCATTAGAGAAACGCAAATCAAAACTACATTGAGATACCATGTCACCCCAACATTACTGGTACTAATCAAAAAAAGAGAAAATAACAAGTGTTGGAGAGGTTGCGGGGAGATTGGAACTCCTATGCACTGCTGGTGGGAATGTAAAATGGTCCAACCAATATGGAAAACAACATGGCACTTCCTTAAAAAACTAGAAATAGAAATACCATACGAACCAGAAATGCCACTCTTAGGAATATATCCTAGAGAAATAAGAGCTGTCACACAAATAGACATATGCACACCCATGTTCATTGCAGCATTATTCACAATAGCAAAAAGATGGAAACAATCTAAGCTCCCATCAACGGATGGAGAAACAAATTATGGTACATACACACAATAGAATACTATGCAATGATAAAGAATAATGATGAATCTGAAAAATATTTCACAACATGGATGAATCTGGAGGGCATTATGCTCAGTGAAATAAGTCAATCACAAAAGGACAAATACTGTATGAGACCACTATTATAAAAACTCAAGAAAGGGTTTACACACAGAAAGAAACAATCTGATGTTTACGGGGCAGGGAGGGCGGTTGGGAAGGGGAAATCATTAACTAGATAGTAGATAAGTTTTAACTTTGGTGAAGGGAAAGACAGTGCACAATATAGGAGAAGTTAGCACAACTTGACCAAGGCAAAGCCATAAAAGTTTCAAAGGCGCATCAAAACACCCTGAGGGACTGAGTTACTGGGGCCGAGGGCTGGGGACCATTGCCACAGGGGTCATCTAGGTCAACTGGCATAACATAGTTCATAAAGAAAGTGTTTTACATCCAACTTTGCTGAGTAGTGCCTGGGGTCTTAAAAGCTTGTGAGCGGCCATCTAAGATACATCTACTGGTCCCATCCTATTTGTGCAAAGGAGAATGAAGAAAACCAAAGATACAAGGGAAAGATTAGTCCAGAGGACTAATGGACCATAACTACCACAGCCTCCACCAGACCGAGTCCAGCACAACCAGATGACGCCCAGCTACCACCACCGACTGCTCTGACAGGGATCACAAAACAGAGTCCCAGACAGAGTGGGAGAAAAATATAGAACAAAATTCAAATTCACAAAAAAAAGACCAGACTTACTGGTCTGACAGAGACTGAGGGACCCCTGAGGCTATGGCCCCTGGACACCCTTTTAACTCAGAACAGAAGCCATTCCCGAAGTTCACCCTTCAGTCAAAGACAGACAGGTCTATAAAACAAACAATAACACACGTGAGGAATGTATTTCTTACTTCGATCATGTATATGAGGCCAAAGGGCACCACCTGCCCAAAAGCAATGATGAGAAGGCAGGAAGGGACAGAAATAATGGATGGATGGAAATGGGGAATTGTGGTGTGGACAGGGAGAGTGTTGAGACATCATGGGGATTGCAACCAATGTCACAAAATAATTTGTGTATAAATTGTTGAGTGTGAAACTAATTTGCTCTGTAAAGTTTCACCTAAAGCACAAAAAAAGGGGAAAAAAGGATCTGTTCTTGAGGACTAAATAATGTAATCACTGTAATAACTTCATTTATATTTATATTAATTTGTAAAAGAGCCTGGCACACATTAAGTACTATATAAATGTCAACTATTATTGTTATTATTAGCTATCCTTGATCAAATTCTTTCACCTTGCTGAGCCTCAATTTCCTCATCTGCAAAATGGAAATAATAATACCTACTCGCATGGACTTGTCACAATTAAATGAGATAAGGATTATATAGCACCCAGCACAGGGTCCAGCACATAGTAGGTGCTCAAATCTCCTTCCCCTGAGCTAGAAAGCCTCCCTGATCCCCTCTCTTCCTGGGTGTTTACTCCCTCCTAACTCCTGCAGCAGCCCTTTGCACAACCCAGGGACTCCAGCCCTTCACGTAGGTGGGATTATTTCCATGTAGGTGTGGGTGTCCCCAGCCTGCAAGTCCCTGGAGGCAGAGGCTAAGGCATCCACTCCCTGGGGCTCTTTCCTGGACTGTCCAGGGCCTGCACCCAGCAGAACCTTAGAAAATATGCCAGCCTCAGCAGATTCACCCTGGCCCTCTCCATCTCTCATGGACATCTCTTCAATCAGAAATATTTATTGAGTGCCTGCTAAACTGCCTGATGTCCCCCGCCTCTATCCTGCCCCAGTTCCTGCTGGCTCAGGCCAGCCTGGTAGCCCACCATGGCCGAAGGGGATCAGGGATGGGGAAGGGAGAAGGTTAGGGCAGGTGGGCTAAAAAGGGTCAGAAAAGAGGATCAAAGCCTGAGGGCACCAGGGGAACAGAAACAAGGCTAAGGGGAGGAAGCAAAGAGAGCCTGAAATAAGATATAACCAAGATCTGACTGGAAATTTTGTTTATTCCATGTCCCACATCTGTCTTGGTATAAAAAAGAGGCAGGGTTTGGGGATTAGGCAAACAGAGAATGAGTCACAGCTAGATCACTTACTACCTCTGTGACGTTGTGGCTTGTCTCTCTTTGCTGTGAAATAAGTATAATAGTACCTGCCTCGTAGGATTGTTGTGAGAATTAAATGAGATGCCTGTAGAGCACTTAGCAGTGTCTGGTGCACAGAGTAGTTTTTTAGTAAATGGCCCCTTCCCTGGACATTATATGGTAGTTAATCAATGAAATGGCCCAGCAGTTTTTTCTCTCCAGGATAAGACATCCCAACCCTTATTAGTCCGTGACACACCTTTGGACACACATATATGTGAGTCTCCACCCACAACATTTGACCAATCTCAATTATCCATAATCATAGACATATCCAATATGCGTGGCCGCACACACAGACACCGTGACACATACTCACCCATTCATACACACAAGCACTCATAAAGGATTTTACACTCCTTGAAGGCAAAGGCTATAGCTCACACTATTTCTATTATACTTATTACAGTGTGCTGCATTGGGCAGCTATGCCTGTCTTCCCATCTTATTTTATCTTTCTGTCCCCAGTGTCTAGCAGAGTACCCCAGCCTCCAATAAAGACGTTGTTGTTGTTAGCTGCCATTGAGTCAGCCACGACTCACGGCGACTCCATGTGTTACAGAGTAGAACTGAGCTCCATAGAGTTTTCTTGGCTGTCATCTTTACAGAAGCAGATCGCCAGGCCTTCTCTTCCAAGGAGCTGCTGGGTGAGTTCGAACCACCAACCTTTCGGCTGGTAGCCAAGCACAAGCAGTTGTGCCACCCAGCAACCTTTCAACAAAGATAGTATGAATTATTAATGAATCTATTTTTGCCAGGTGCCTAGTACTGTGTGTCTGGCTTGATGCAAGTGTTCCCAAGGTGTGGCATGACTGAGTGAATACAAATAAAAGGTACATAGAAATACCCAGCCCTGCCCTCCTCTCTTCTCCATGGTTACCACCCTCTTCGGCTTCTAGACCAAAAACTGGCAAAGTGCCGTTATGAAACCCAAAACTTCAGGACACACCCAAGCAGTTAAAGGTCAGGTACCTGGGCAAGTGAACAGTGCAGCCCAGCAGGGATCACCTCCACGACATTTTAGCCTGGGTCTTCAGGAGCAGCTTGACAAGGGGCTGCTTTTCATCCTGTCCCCTTCTCCTTCTGGCTCTTAAATCCCCCGCCCCCAGCTTCAGGCCTCTCAGATTGCTTTGCAGCTCTGACCACTACCACAATACTTTGCTTTCTCCAAAACAACCTCCTCTTTTAAACAAAGACTGACCCGCTCCCACCATCCACCACACAGCACCTGTCACGACCTCACCTCACCTCACCTCTCCATCAGATTCTTCTGTTGAGGTTCAGAAGGCTTTGTTCTTTGCTCTCATTTGGCTCCAGGGAAGGGATGGGACTGATCTCTACCCTGCCCTTTTGGAAGTTATCAGCATCTTGACCTCATCAGTACTCCCTCCCACTTGCTGGAGGAGAAGGGAAGGGAAGAGGAGTGCACTGTTGGACCAACAGCCACCCTCTGGAGAAACCCTGAGCACTCAGATGGTTCCACTGGGCAGAGGCGCCAGTCCATCAGGCCAGGGGTTACCAGAGGTCTACCTAGGGACATTGGCTCCTACCTGGGGTCTAAGGATCTGCCTACCCAGTGAGCACCCCTGTGCCCTAATAGGAAAGCCAGGCCACCCTTCAAGGTGCCAGGGAGGTGGCAGAGGGGCCAACTGACCTGTAGGGATTGATGGTACAGACAGTAACAGCTGGGAAGACAAGCTTATCTGAGTTGAGGTTGATGTTAAGGCTGACGGGATAGCTGAAGTACTCTCCAAACAGCAGGCCAAATTGCCAGTACATCACACCGAAGGTACAGAGCCAGAGCACAGCCCAGAAGGCTGTCTTCATGCGGTTGTGCTGGGAGCACACCAGCCGGATGGCACCGTGGATGGTGGTGTTGCTGCAGAAGAACTGGAAGAGCTCTCGGTAGGAGCGGTGGAATTCGATCAGAGCCTCCTCCTCCTCCGTGGGCTGGTTTGAGGCTGCAGGTTCAGGGCCCAGCCCCTGCTCCTCACGTTTTTCCCCCTTCATGAGCCTTTGGGTGAGACGGGGAGGGCGAGGGTAAGGATCAGGGCTGAGCTCTGGGCTCTGGATCCCCACCCCCATCACCACCTTGAACTCAAAGTGAAGCTGCCCCTAGCCATGCCCACTTCCCACCTGAGCCTGCTTTCTCCCACCCTTCCCTCCCTCCATCTTCCCAGGAGCCAGATGACCTGCTGGAGTCGGGGCCAGAAGGGCTGGAGCTGGGCTTCCCTGAAGTGGCCTCTCCTCTGCTTCCCTGATAAGGCCACCGTTTTGGTTTCTGTCCTAGCACCTCCCTCTCTGTCTCCACAATAGTCAGTCTCTGCCCTTCTTAGTCACTTTCTTTGGTCTTCTTCCCTCCAGGGTCTCTGGGACGTAGCTCCTCTCTCTCTCTCTCTCTCTATCTCTATCTCTCTGCCTCCTGGTTCTCTTTGGGTGTCTTTCTCAGCTCTCTTCTTCCTTGTCTAGTCTCCTCTCAGTGTGCTCTCTGATCCTGCCTCTCTTCCTTTTCCTCCCAGTCTTTCCCCTCTTAGTCTGGGCTCTGTCCTATTGTCTCTGGCCCTGTCCCCAGGGCTGTGTCCTGACTCCCTCTCCACCCAGGGACACAGAGCTCCAGGAGGCCTGGGCTGTCTCCTGCTCTGCATTCCCAGGTTGTGACTGGAACTGGGACTGGTTTCTTTCCAGTTGAATCTGGCAGCCGAGCCTCTCCTCCCCCTCACCTGACAGGTGCAGTGGCCTGGCCTGGGAGCCCGCCCACCGGCCCGCCCACCCACTGACCAGGGATGGAAGTGACAGAAGCCTCATTAGCATCTCAAGTAAGTGAGCAGGGCAGAGGGAGGGGCCAAGGAGAAGTCTGAGCTGGCAGTTCTCCAAAGGGAGGAGGGCCCCAAGGGCAGGTGAGCCAGGGAGCACTAGGCAGGTGGGAGAGGGTCCTGAGAAAGAGTCCAGACTGGGTGGGGGTTGATGGGGAGCTGACAGTAAGGAGACTGGGAGACAGAACGGCAGGTGAGGGTCAGAGATCTTGAACAAGGAGAAAGACCCTGAACACAAAGCCAGAAGGGCAAATCAAGGGAAAGGATGAACCAGGATGAGTGAGAGGAGGGTGGGAAGCCAGCAGAACAGGGAAGGCAGAAAAGGGGAGACAGATGGAGGTGGAGGTGGAGGTGGAGGTGGTGAGGACTGAGGGAGAGGGATGTAGGAGGGGCACATGGGGAACAGAGTCAGAGAGGAGGGTGAGAGGAGGGAGCCAGGCAGGAGAGCAAGGGAAGGGAGCCCTGGTGGGCTTCCAGAATCCCCTCCCATGGGAATCTCTCCAAGGGCACCCCTGGGTTAGCCACACCTCCGGGTCTGGAAGAGGAAGGAGAAGAGGGTTCTGCACGGGTTCCTCCCTGCTCAAGAGTAGGAACACCTCCTGGCTGCACCCGGCACTCAGGCTCAGTGGGAGCACCCCTCTGCCTCTTCCTCCTGGTCCATCCTCTTCCTTCCTGACTCCTCACACCACCCCTCCTTGTCCAAGCCAGGGAGGGGCCCAGGTGAAGCTGGGGGCTGGGTGGGGCCCAGGGACATTCTGTTCTTTTTTATACCATTGGCTGCCAGGCCAGGAATGTGTAATGTCCCCTGTTGTGGTCACAGGGTTGTAGGAATGTGGGCACTGAGAGGCAGCTCAGGGGCCCGGCAGGGCGCTGTGGGCACAGGCTAGAGCCCAGGGAGGGGAAGGGCCAGCAGGCACTGACAGGCGGTAGGGATGTGGTCAGTGCTGGGTGACAGAGGGAGGCAGCGGGCATGGCTGAAGTCTCCACCAGCCCTGGGAGGAAGGAGAAGCTAATTGGTAGAGGCTGTGTTTTTCCTCCAAAATCTCTGCCCCAAACTTCATCCAGCAAGAGGATAACAAGTGAAGTGCCAAAGGGGTGAGCAAGTAGATAGGGAAGGGTCAGAGAATCAGGCCCCAAAAGAGGGCCCAAGGAGACACAGGCCCTGCATGTGACAGCGGGGGTCTACCACGTGTGGACGCCACCTCAGAGCAGCAGGCCTGGGCGTCCCTACGCAGACGTGCAGACACAGGCCCGCTGAGCACTGATACAGACTCTTGGAAGGAGACAGATCTGTAAATGTGCAGCTGCACTGTAATAAGATAGATAAGGACCTTGGTGGCAAACCTAAGAACAAAGTGCTTATAGGAGCATGGGGGAGGGGAGGAAGGGCTCACTCTGAGGAGACTCAGGAAGACTTCCCAGGGAAAAGCAGCAACTCAGCTGGATCTTGAACAAGAGGCAGTTTACCAGGCCAAGAAGAGGGAAGAGGGTACTGCCGGCTCAGGGTACATACAACCAGGTCTTGTGGCTTTTTAAAGTGAAAGCTGACGTTAACCATGATTTCAAGCTTGGTCCAGTGCTTACCTTGACACCTTCTTATGCTACTGCCTCTGGGGAGGGAAAGGCTGGCTTTTTCTTCATTTTCCAGAGGAAGAAACAGACCCTCAGGAAGGATAAGCTGGTTCTACTGAGGTCACAAAACAAAATAGCAGCAGAGTTAAAAACAGAATTCAGAATTCCTCTTCTCCATCTGGGGTTATCTACTTCATCCTTTTGCCATTTACTTCCCAGACTTACGGTGAATCGGGGCACCTGGTTTTGAGTGCCAGGAAAGGTCCACACATACAGAGTCCATGGATTTATCAGCTCTCTGGGTCCTGATTATCTCCGTGGCTCTGTGAAAAGCTCTCTACACTGCCCCCACCTTCCCCACAGGACCCAGATACCCTAGAAGCTCCCACCTCCCTTGAATCAGGCCCTTACACTAGGAAAGACCTACTTACATACAGGGTTTGTAGCTCCCTGCCTGTTTGATCACAAAGGTTCTGAGAAGCACCTCCCTGACTTTTCTATTTGCTAGCTGGTGCTTGAAACCCAACCACAGGCTTAAAGCTCATAACAAATAGTTTTCATCTCAAGGGCTCTGTGAGAAGAACTGTAAGGCCTGGTGTGGGCTCCGCTGGAGGATGCGTGGTGACCTGGCTCTGCCTTCAGGGGGACAAGAGTGGCAGCTTGGTCTTAAGACACCACAGATCTGGAATGGGCCTGAACAAGCTGGTTGTCATGAGAAAAACAGGAGTCAGAGATCTACACTTTTGTCACAACTCCATTTTAAATATTATCTTTTAAAGTACGGAAATAATGCCCAAATACCTTTCTGTTGCAGTACAATTTCTCAACAATACAGAGGTATATAGAAGCCCCCTTTGTCCCATTCCATTCCCACTCTTGTGCCCAAGGGGAATCACTGTGATTTGTGTACCCATCTACATATGTTGTGTGCCTTTATATACTTACACACATTTTTAAAAATAATATTTTATTGCATTTCCGGTGGAAGTTTACATAGCAGTTTAGGTTTCCATTCAACAATTTCTACACAAGTTGTTCAGTGACACTGGTTACATTCTTCACAATGGATGAACATTCTCATTATTCCCATTCTGGTTGTTCCATTTCCATTAATCTAGTTTCCCTGCCTCCTTACATTCTCATCCTTGTTTTAAAGTAATTGTTGGCCATTTTTCTTATATAGATGATTTTTTTAAAGGAGCACAGTATTTATGGGTGATATTCAATATTTTTTTTAGCCAATTTGTTATTTAGCTATAAGGTGACCTCAAGGATTAGTTTCAGTTCAAGGTCTGAAGAGTATCTCAGGGCAATAGTCTCAGGGAGTCCTCTAGTCTCAACCAGTGCAGTAAGTCTGGTTTTTTTGTTTTTGTTTTTTTTTTAGGAATCGATGTTCTGTTCCACATTTTTCTACCATTCTATCAGGGTCCATCTATCGTGACCCTGATTAAAATGGTCCGTAGTAGTAGCCAGGCACCATCTAGTTCTTCTGGTCTCAGGATAGATGAGGGCATGGTTCATGTTGACTATTTGTCCTGGAAACTAGTTTCTTTTTTGAGTCTTTCGTTTCCTTCTTTCTCTTTTGCTCCAGACAAGTAGAGACCAATAACTGTATCTTAGATTACATATATTTTCTAAAAACAAAATACATAGTTTCCCCCCTCCCACATAAGTGGGACCATGTATAGTTATTATTCAATGGCTTACATTTTTACTTTTAAACTATATGACTTTGGAAAAGGCACTTTACCTCTCTGGGCCTCAGTCCTCTCATAGAAAAAAGTGAAATGGTAGGAGGGGGTGGGTAGGACAGTCCAGATGTCATAAAGGGCCCTCCCAGCTTTCAGAGTCACCCAGGAGTTGGGGATGGGGCCCGACTGAGAACTGAGCCTCCCCTTTCCAAGCTCATTGCCACTTCTATGACTTCCAGAGAAGTCCAGTCTTGTTCTGTGGGGGCCAGGGCCTTGTAGACCTTGCCTCAAAAGGATACTCTTCCCCAGGGCTCCCCTCAGCCTCTCCCAGAGCCTCAGCTCTTCCTCACAACACAGGGCTGCCTTCTCCCTCCCAACGTCAGCCATCCTCAAGCCCTGTGGTGTGACTATGAAATGCACAAGGGCTACAGAGAGAAAAGTGAAACAAGAGGGTCTGCTGTGGATGAGAGCTATGAGTTCCTGCCCCTTGCTCTCCTGGGAACAGGAGATGATAGAATTCATCACTTTCTCCTCCATGCTTCCACAGAGAGAGCCTTGTTTATAACTCTGTCTCAGTACTTATTGTTGTTTCCAATTATTATCCTGGGTCGTGTTTACATATGTATGGATCACATTATAAGTTCCCTGAGAACAGGGACCAGGCTTATTCATCTGGGTGACCCCAGTGTCTAGTGTTCACTATTTGTTGATCCATTCTACAGAAGACAGCAGAATTAGCATCTGGGATGTGCTATTAGAAAGCATCTCCCAAACATCAAATGTCCTAATTTCCTCTACTGTTGTTGTTGTTAGGTGCCATCAAGTCGGGGTTGTGTGACAGAGTAGAACTACCCCATAGGGTTTTCTTGGCTGTAATCTTTACAGAAGCAGATCACCAGGTCTTTCTCCCAGGAGCCACTGGATGGGTTCGAACTGCCAACCTTTTGGTTAACAGTCAAGCGCTTAACCATTTGCGCCACCAGGGCTCCTTTAATTCCATCTAATAATCCATTAATTTGTGGTCCATTAGTTTATCTAAACGTCCTTCAAACTTTTTCCTTTTCAGCCTTTATCTCCTCTAGGGTAAAAATGAGTTAGTCAATTAAATGCAGTTCTTTATACTCATTACTTCAAGCTAGCGAGGCTCTCTATACTGGGCTTCCCACTGTGGAAAATAGTGGTCCACTGATCTGCGCTTACGTAGTATGAATTTATCTTTAATCTGAAATGATGTACCAGAAAATCCTTCCCTGCCACTCTTAGTCCAGTCACCTGGCAGGATGCTTAGAAGTTCACTATTAAAAGCTTATTCCTTTGGGTTAAAACAGGGTTTATCAACTTTGGCACTATTAACATTTTGGGCCAGATAATTTTTTGCTTTTGGGGGCTGTCCTGTGCATTGCAGGATGGTTAGCAGCATCCCTAGCCCCTACCTACTAGAAGCCATTAGCATCACTCCTCTGTCAGTTGTCCAGTCGTGTCAATGAAAAATGTCTCCAGACATTGACAAATGTCTTTGGGGGACAAAATCGCCCCCAGTTAAGAACAACTAGGTTGAGAAATTGTCCCCAGTGAAAATGCAAACACCCCTAAGAAGGGCAACCCTCATCAGTCACGTACTTCTTCGTGTTTTCCAGACCCTTCCCAAGGGTACCACTTGGCTGAGAGCAGTTTGAAGAAGAGGAGAGAAACAAACAGTATTTAGAAGAATCCATTCCTGCTGACCATTCCCTTTGTGGATTATTCATGCACCTGTGAGAAGAATGATATGTCAGCAATCCCTTCTGAAGAAGACCTGGGAGAAAAGTCCCCTCCCACATTCTAGGATTCTCTGCAGCACTCTGTCTGGGTCCTGTGTTGCCCAGTGGAACTCAATAAAACTTCAAGGTGGTGAAGGACACAGAAGGAAAGAAGCAAAAACAATGCCCTGCCCACAAACAATTTGTAGACTTCTCACCCATGTCAGTCTCCATCATCCTGGAAAAAACTGGGTAGGCATTATAATAACCAATTATTGATAGCACTTATCAATCATGGTCCAGCCAGGAAATAGGAAACACTCTAAGTCATTCAAATAAAAGAAATTTAACACAGGGTATTGGTACATGAGTGATGGAAAAGCTGAGAAGCCAACAGGGGAAGGTGAGGCTACCATCTCTAAGGCTGGAGAGACAAGCCTCCAGAAACTATTTGGCAGAAACTAAATAGTGGGGGCTGCTTGATAGGAGATGGGATCATGGAGAGAGAAGGAAACACAATCTCTGCAAGAGATGCCAGAAAGCAAACAGTTGTTATTGTTAGCTGCCATCGAGTCTCATAGCGACCCCACGTGAACTTCTCCGTAGTGTTTTCAAGGCTGTGACCTTTCAGAAGCAGATCACCAGGCCTCTCTTCTGAGGCACCTCTGGATGGGTTCAAACCACCAACATTTTAGCTGGTAGTCAAGAGCTTAACCATTTGCATGTCCCAGAGACTCCATAGCAAACAGAGATGGGAAGAAATAGCCTGGTTTCTTCCCTCCTCTCACCTGCCTGCCTATCTTCTACCAGTGCCTCCTATTGGCTGAACCTACCCAGACGCCACAGGGAAAAGGAGTCTGGGAAATGTAGTTTCCAGTGATACAGGAAAGAGCAGGGGAAGGGCAGAGAATGGATCTCCGAGAAAACCAGCAGTTGACTGCACAAAACAGTGTAGTGGCCAGGATTAAAACCCAGATCTTAGGGTTCTTTCCTTAGGACCTAGAGACTCCTTGAGGGCTGAAGAGACAGCATGGGACTGGCAGCAGAAAGAAGAATATAGTTCAGCTAGCTAGGGTTAAAAAGGATCTGAGACACTGGTTACCTGTGAAATAGGTAACTGGGAAGAGCATGAAGGAATTTCTTGGGATGCAGGAAATGTTCTGAGTGGGATACATGGTATTATGGATTGAATCATGTTGCCAAAAGATATGTATTAAAAACCTAACCCCTATTCAAGCTGGATTCAGAAGAGGACATGGAACGAGGGGTATCATTGCTGATGTCAGATGGATCTTGGCTGAAAGCAGAGAATATCAGAAAGATATTTACCTGTGTTTTATTGACTATGTAAAGGCATTCAACTATGTGGATCATAACAAATTATGGATAACATTTCGAAGAATGGGAATTTCAGAACACTTAATTGTGCTCATGAGGAATCTGTACATAGACCAAGAGGCAATTGTTTGAACAGAACAAGGGGATACTGAGTGGTTTAAAATCAGGAAAGGTATGCGTCAGGGTTGTAGCCTTTCACCGTACTTATTCAATTTGTATGCTGAGCAAATAATCCAAGAAGCTGGACTATATGAAGAACACAGCATCAGGATTGGAGGAAGACT